CCGGGGTGTCCACGTTCATCCTTGCAGCGGATATGAAGACAAATGCCTTCCCTAGAGCTTCTTCCTGCCTCGCCGACCAGCGTCCTCTATTTGCCGGATCTAGCGGTTGGTGGGGTTGAGGGTCTGGTAGGGATGGATTGGGGAAACCCTTGGCCAGTTATTGTGGCCACGACGCAGGCAGCTCCGACATAGCTCACCTTCTTGAAGACGCCATCACAATCCTACCCTCACCCTCACCTTCCCATCCCGGGAGAAAGCCCAAAGTCTCCAAATTGGGTGGTGACAACGCGTCGGGGTTGTTTTCTTCTTGAAGACACCACCTTGGGACGGCGGATTGGTGGCCGAAGCTCCAACGCGGGTTGTGGTCTGTCAGTTATCTCTAGTGGTGTTCCTGCTCGGCTACTTGCGGTTGAAGTTGTTGCCTGCACGAGGCGGTGGCTATGTTGGGGTGTGCCGCTACGTGGTGCGGTGGTCGTGCTTGTCGTCCTCTCCCTGGGCACCTGTTGATCCTGTCCATGCAAGCTCGGTGGTGAGTGACTCTGCCTGTTGACAACGTACTGTCATCCGATCAAGGACTAGAGGGCAGGGGTCCTTCTTTGGAGGAAGAGGCGGATGGCGGAATGACAATGGATGGCCTCTTCGGAGTTGACGGAGCATTGCAATCCTCCTGCAGCGGGCCACTACCTCGTCTTCGTTGCGTGTGTGCTGGCTCTTGTTCGTCGAGGGCCTCGATGCTCAAGCTTGCGCTTGGTGGATTCAGTGCTTGTTAGTGGCTCCTTTGGTATCACGTATCTTTATCATTTTTCTCTTTTATTTTGTTTTTGGTTGTTCAACTTGTAATGCGGTGGTAGCTTTATAATATAAAGCGGGGAATCTTTTTTCATCAAATAGGCACCAGAATATCATGAGGCATATTAAATTGATGAACTTAACACCAAGCTCACAAAGGAGATAGTACCTTGATTCTTGATTGATATGTGTTCACAATTTACAACATTTCATAGATCTTATTTACAAGCTACTTTAAGCCCATAATTGTGGTCAATTTCCTATATCCACAACCAACTGCATATGTGCATCACAAAATCTGACCAAAAACTGAATAAACTATGATAGTGTGGACGCGAGAACCTGCGGCGGGAGTGCCTTGCAAAGGGGATGGGGTTGATAAGGAGAGGAGCCTTATTGCGGTGGAGGGAGTGGATGATGGAGGGCGAACACCAGACAACATGGCCACCCAGGGGACGCAGTCGATGAAATGAGCTCGTCCGTGCTCCTCGGGGCATCCAAGGAGAGGAACGACAGCGAGCAGGATTAAAGCCAAGCCCCATGTAAGAGATAAGGCAGAGAAGAAAACGAAGAAGATCAAATCAACACAGAAGATGCGAGGATTATAACATGAAAAACCCGCCAATGAGAAGAGGAAAAAACCATGGGCGCCAGCCAGCAAAACTTCACTATATTAAAAGAAAATACAAGCATAGGGGATTTACACTGATTGTCTTATCTCGTACGGCAGATTACAAAGAATATATATAACAAAGGTTCCTAAGCCTCTCGGCAATGAGCCTCAGCTCCGCTCCGTCGAAAGTTAGCATTTATATGTATTTGGATCACAGCTTAACAACCCGCGCGGCCGTGCGGAAGTGGTGGCACATTTTTTTGATAAAGGATGAATTTTATTGACTCAGAACGGAGCATCAACAAGATATATAACATATTGAGCACATATCCAGCCTCTGCATAGTTTGGATGCACGAACCAACACCAACTCACACACACATAAAAAAACACGCCGACAACTAGCAAAGTCATATAAGACCAAAGCTATAGGCAAGGAAAAATTAAAAAAATCCCTAAGTGATAAGATACGCGATCGACAAACTACGATGATGACATGTCTACACCAACCATTTCATGACACTACATGACCAACAATGAAAACGGTGGCACATAGTGGCAAGGAGCGCGATGCCGTGGATGTTACTCCGTTCAGCCGAGGAGAGGGCACACTCGCAGCGGTGTGAGGACGCCCGGCAAGCCAGATGAGGTTGCGGCCAATTCTAGAGAATGGGTGACCTGGAGGCGGTGCTAGCGGGCGACGAGGGGGCAAAATGATGGCGGCGGCGAACATCAAAGGCTACGCGGGTGTCACTTGGGTGGGCCATCACTGGCATGGTAAAAATAAGCCGATCTAACAAAATCGGTATGTGAGGATGTGCGATACTGAGGTACATGAGAAAACTGAATGTGAGAAGCCTAAATGAAATCGGGCGAAGGTTTGGGCAGAATGCGCTCTGCTGGAGGGCAAGGAAAGCTTACATCTTTTTTAATAGTTGGATGCATCTAGGGAGCAGCCGGGTGCTCCCTAGCGTTCCCTGTCAGCCTCCCCGAAAAGGTATGTTTCTGTACCCCCCCTCCCATCAAACAGAAAGGCAAGTCTCCTAGACAGCCCGCGATCACCTAGTCCCCGACTCACATGATCGTTCCATCCCCACCTTCCCTCCCCCTCACGTGATCCCTCCCATCCCACTTTACCCCACCCCCACCTCTCCTCCCCTCCTATTCTAGGCGCCAGCCGCCAAAGCATTGACCCCATCTTCTTCTCCCCCGAGAAAGAGGTAAGGTTCATCCTCCTCA